TTGGTATTGGTATTTTATAATAGTTAATATAGGTAGTCCTCGAATTAAGACCACAACAGGGACGGAAAATTCATCGTTAATCGAGGCATCAAGTGACCACACCTGATTTTTGTGATCTTTTTTGCTGCAGTCATTAAACAAGACATCACATGACCACGACTTGCAACCTTCACTGCCAGCTTCCCCACTGACTTTGCTTATCAGAAGCCAGCTGGGAAGGTCGTAAATGGCAACCAGGTGACCGCAGGATGCTGCATCCACTGTAAATGTGGGACAATTGCCAAGTGCCCAAATCACAATTACGTGTCTGTAGGGGCGCTGCGACGGTTGTAAGTGTGAGGACTGGTCATAAGTCACTTTTTTCAGCACCATCGTACCTTTGAACAGTCATTAAATAAATGGTCATAAGTTGAGGATTACCTATATATATAAATTTCAATTTTAGTAAATAATATACAAACATTAGATGTAATTCCACATAATATAATTGCTTAAAAAGTTACTTACTGCAAGTGCCGCCACTGAACATTGGAATTGTTTCAAACATCATTTTATGAAACAGCAGTGCTACTGGTCTGTAATCCAGATGATTCTTTAACAGGTAGCTATAATAATATACATAGCGTCTCTGACTGGGAATAGTTACTCCCTTAATAAAGAGAAAGAACATTTATCACATATGATATTGTCACAATTTGTTAGCTGAACTTTCATAAAATAAGTTCTAAAAAGGTATAAGAACAGCTATATGCAGGCAAATCCATCAATCTCATACATATTTGATGACAGTTTGGGAGATTTAGTGTAACTTTTCTACACTGAATTAAAAAGCCAGTTCTATTTTTCCTACAATCCCTGCCTTCAATATACACATTCCATACACCAAATTGCAATAAAATGTAAGCAATCCAAGCAAGAGGTAGTCAATACACATTGGCCAGACACTGTTACAAGACATGCATAGGAGCAAAGTATATTGAAATACTGTTGCTGCTCCTGTACAAGTTTATGCTGTGCACAGCTAAGAAACTAGCATAGATTTTTTTAAAAAAAATGGCTGTGCATCTGTATTTCTTTTTGTAAATATACAAACAAAATGGAACCAGTAATGGAACATGACTCGTAATTTGATCTACAAAATCTATTGCTGTGATTCTTTGCTTACATTCAATGTCTCCTATAAAATCTTAAGCTTGTAACATGGTGTAAAAACAACACTCATCATTTTTTGCATATGATTTTACACACTAGTTTCATGTTTGTCTGAGATTTTCCAAATCCCTATCTTTGGCCCCAACATTGCTAAATGCAATTAGTACTCTTAATATGGTATTTACACAGTAAGAAGGTATGAGGTTCCTCCTCAGTAAATTATCTGTCAATTGAGTCCTCTTATATTCATTAGTATTCACTGTTAAAAACAAAAGAATGAGAGGAAGTACAAATAACTACACAAACATCATTACTGAAGAATATGGATGACATACTCTTGCTGGAGATAGAGGCTGCCTACCTAGTGAATTTTGTAACCTATTTTGTTTCTCTTTCTTCCCTTGTCCTTATACTAGTCATATTACTCAGCCATCCAGTTTTGTCCCTCCTCCTTTTTCTTCCCAATAAAATTATCCTTTTCCCTTAACGTGTATATTTCTACCTCTTTTTTGCTTTTTGATCAAGGAATAGTATGTGTGTGCACTGCAGTCTTTCTGTTTCTCTGATTAATAGTGGTTTGTGTTGAAAGAGATTGATATATGCAGGAGACAGAATCAATTGTATAAATCAGGTGCTTTATTTTATAGGTAATTAATTTCAATCTGTAGTTATTAATTCAATTTTATGTTCTTGCTCAGTCCTTTTTTGGAATATGGCTTCTGGCAGATACACACACACACACGATTTGCAAACACCTATGAGTGTGATGCATACACATATCAGTTGTGGAGAGGGGAAAATCTCAAGGATCTGTTTCTGGTGAAGTTGACAACCTTAGACTGATAAAGTAGAGAAGATGGGAATCACACAGAATTACTTTTTTCCATGTCTACTGCTTTGGGATATGGTCATCTTAAATCCAGTGCCGTCATCTTTTTAAGTGTATATATAGTAGTTCCATTTCAAGAAGAAAAGAAAAAAAGCAAAGAAAAGAAGGAATGGCAGAAAGGAGAAGTATTAAAAATGGCCACATACTCTCAGAATTTTAATCTGCAATAAGTCTTTATGAAAAACAAATATTATGGATTAAAGACAGTAGTAATGTTTGTCTCTTAAATACAAATGCTAATTAAAAAATGGTCTAAAGATCAATCATATTCAAAATGACTCTATACAATATATCTACAATTGATAGTTGAAATGTTTTGAACAGTTAGATCTTCTCTTATTTAGAATTATTCCAATGAAATTGGAATATGGTGTAAGAATCAATCACATACATTGGTTGCATGAATATTTAAAAAGCAAATTCTCTGCTTAACTACTGGTAAATACATGGATGGCAAAATGGTAGGCAAAGATTATTTTTATTTCCCTGCCTAGCCTACAACCTGTAAATAAAGCACATTTTTGAAAAAAATGTCCAGAAACTGCAAAACAAATTAATACTCATCCTCTGCAATATAAACTATAGTTATGATATTCTGTAAGTAGGCTATGTTCAGTATTATCTGAGCTTATACATGGTAAACAGAACAAATTTTGTTTTGTGAAGGAAACAGTGTTCCCTTGATTACTAATTTCTGCAAAACCATAGCCACAGAGCACAAATCACAGTAATTCAATTTCACAGATTGTAAAAGAAAATGTTTCATACAAGGTCTTTTTTTACCAGATTACAAATTTGCAAGAAATTTGTTGTTCCTAGATACTCTTCACAAGCAGCTCAGATTTTTCCCCATCTATATGTAATTGCAACTTGGTATCAAAACAATGGTATTTTGGAATCAGGAATCAACTTAAATAGCATTGATTAAGATAGCCAGTTCTAGAAATGCATACCCATCTGAATCCAAAAATATGCACCCACTTCTGAAAGCCAAATGAAAACAAGACTTTACATGCAGGTCTCAGGGATTCTACTCAATGGCTCATCAAGAACATATGGCTGATAAAGAATGAGGACACAAAATTTCACCTTGAACTGACCAATGACACCTGATCAGCCCTGGCTAACCTCTCGGATCTCTTCCAGCCTCTATATTGTCTCTCAATCATCCTTCTCATCCCAGTTGATCATGACTGTTGTTTCTGGCTCTGCCTTCTACTTTGCTTTCCTTACTCTCTAGTGCTGTCTTTCTCCAGTTTTGCTCTTGTTCAATCATCATTTATTCTTTTTCAAACAAGATATTCTCCCATCCAACTTGTTGCTCCAACTAGCTTATTGTTTTCTCAGACACAACCAGGCATGCATGCAGGAATTGCTGAGGCAAGTGGGAACAAAAAGAATCATGGCATGGATGTTCAAATAAAAACAGGCATGCTAGAGGTAGGCATTTGGGGGGAATCTCACCTTGCAGAGTATGGGGGGCCTATCTGGTGCTATTCAAGTCTTCTCTTGTTTGCTAACTTTGAAGGAGCTAGAAGGAAATGTGCTTATTGCTCCCTGTTCTTAAGGGGAGCAAATAAAACAAGAAGCATCCATCTGATGTTAGTTACGTATAATTATGCTTTGCCTATATGGATCCTTTAGAAACAATGGGAGGAAGCAATCTCTAGGTCCACAAAAAATTATGAGAGCTACAATAAAGATTGACATGACTGGAATCACTTAAATCAATCAAAAGTATAAACAGACTTCATACAGAAGGAGTAGATTCTGAGAGGTAACAAAAAGAATCAAATGGACAAAAATGGTTTATATTACTAAGGCTTAATGACTGTAATTCTGTTCTGAGACAGACATGACTTTATTCTTCTCAGATGGTTGGAATGAAAAAATAAGTAATGAAAAAATAAGTAATAAAAAACTTAAACTGAGTGTAGCTAATGATTAGTGTTTCTTTCAGTGCTATTTTAATTCTGAAACATCAAATTCAGTTTTTATTTTAGATGAGATATAATACTCAGTTTTGTCTATTGCAAACATACTATTACAGGCCATCTTGGAATATTTGGCAAACCTAATGAGTTTGAGTATGTCAGGATCCAACTTTCTAAATAATTACAGAAACACCCTCTTTAAAAAAATAAAATGCCCCCTTCCACAAATTCTCAATGCATAATCATCAGTTTTCAAGAAAAAGTCTCTCCCCACCTTTATTCAAGTTTAATTGGAAATGCACTGAACTCAAAGTATTAATGCACCTAACTCAAAGTATTAACATGTTATTTACAACTACATATCCCAGATGAAGATAAATTCTTATGGGTCATCAGTTACTGGAGCTAAGGCTTTTGTGAAGAATAGTAGCTAGAGAATGAAACTCTGGGACTTAACCTTGGCATCTATTGGTCACTAATATCCACAGTGATGCCTCCCTTGGCATATATTGGACCCTTTCACCAGTTCTGCCTTCCAGTAAATAGCCATTTACCATTTTATGGTAGCCATTTTGGGGAACACCCATAAGATGCTTTCAAAAATTTAAATCTACTCACTGAAAAGGCTAGGGATCCTTGATTAATACCTTCAAATTATGAAATATACTGCTTTGAGCAAGGCAGTATTCTTCACAGAATACAAGAAGAAAGCATTAAATCACTCCTTGAAGCATGCAACTTCTTAAAGCACAGCAAAATATAGCTACTTTGATTGTACTGAATCATTCTGAACCCAAATGGCCATTTCAAGTGTTTTGAGCTCAGAACAAAACATCCAGTGTTTGTCCCAAGATCAGGACAAAGTGAAGTATTTGCTCTATGTCATTCCAAGTGTTCTAGTGTTCATCTATACATTTTTCTAACGGAGATTTAGCGAATGCACTAATATTAAGAGGTTCTATCTATGCTCCCACTGACTGGAACTAGTTGAGGGCAGGAGGGGGATGTATTAATAATCAGTTAAGCATATATTGCTTTTTGCCCAATAGCTAAGTTGATTGCTTTTTAAAATTCTTTGCTATGGGGAGTTTAGTTCTAGTCAAAGGTTGCACAGTAATATTGCCCCTCTGTGTTGGATGTGTACTGAGCTTTCTTTGCCAAGGCACATTACCAAATACAAAAGTATGTGCATTACCGATACTTTTGTTATTCTGTTGAGCTTTCAGGTGCTAAATACAAAACTTACACTCCTTTGTTTGTTAAGCTTGGCAATCGCATTACTAAAAAATAGGCACTGTTCATGCCCATTAGGAAAACCCTTATTGAAGCCAATAACTTGATTTTTTGCTGTGCAGCTAGCTGTTCACAGGCTGTGTTGAAATGAATATGTTGCTATTGATTCTTTACTGGGCTGGGTTCTGTGGTTACTGACTGAGCAGGTAATATTGTACGGGTTGTTGGGGAAAAAAAGGGAAGGAGAAAGCACTATGTACACTACCTTGAGCTCCTGAAGAAATAAGTTCCCACTGTTTCCCATCTCAAAATAGTAAAAATATAAATACTGCTTCTTTGGAATTCACAAAATATTCTGACATGTGTTTTTTTTTTTTAAATTTGGAGTTTGGGAGAGGTTTTGTATCCATGCTGACTATTAGAACATTTAATCCAGGGCAA